AAAAAAACGACCATGTATCGTAAGGCATTTTTATCTGAAAAAAACGACCATGAATAGTAAGGCGTTTTTGGCCGAAAAAAACACCATGTATAGTAAGGCGTTTTTGGCCCAAAAAAAAAAAAACGACCATACACAGGAAGGCGTTTTGCGAATTGTTCCTTGGCGTGAATGTGAGCGCGAATCGTGCAGAGAAGAGGATCAGAAAATGCATGGCCATACATATTTTTGAGAACACAGAAGAAGGATGGCCCAGGATTCGAACTCTGCACCTCCACAGCGCAACGGCGACGCACTAACCATTCGACTACCAGGTAGGTCATGAGCACTTCACATTTTCCCTATACAAGACCGTTTTTTGAAATGTGAGCGCATTGATCGGGAACGCTTCACATTTTCCCTATACAAGACCATTTTTTGAAATGTGTGCGCATTGATCGTAAGGCTTTTCTTTTTTTTTGTAAAGTATTTTTTTAAGTATAGGAAGGCATTTTTCAAAACAACAACAACAAAAAATGACCACCTATAGTAAGGCGTTTTTAAAGCTATAAAACGACCATGTGTAGTAAGGCGTTTTTCAAAGGAAAAAAATGACCATACATTTTCAGGTGTTTTGAACCAAAAAAGATGACCAAAGGCGTTTTTATCCCCTGCAAAAAACGAACATGAATAGTAAAGCGTTTTCGGCCGAAAAAAAGACCATGTATAGTAAGGCATTTTTTGCCGAAAAAAACGACCATGTAGAGTAAGGAGTATTTTGACTGAAAAAAACGACCATGTATCGTAAGGCATTTTTGGCCGAAAAAAAAAGACCATGTATAGTAAGGCGTTTTTTGCCGAACAATCGACCATGTATAGTAAGGCGTTTTCGGCCGGAAAAAAAGACCATGTATAGTAAGGCGATTTTGGCCGAAAAAAAAGACCATGTATAGTAAGGCGTTTTTGGCCCAAAAAAAAGACTATGTATAGTAAGGCGTTTTTGGCCGAAAGAAAAGACCATGTTTAGTAAGGCGTTTTTTTGCCCAAAAAAACGACCACGTTTTGTAAGGCGTATTTTGCTGAAAAAAACGACCATGTATAGTAAGGCGTTTCACACGGCCATTTTGCTGAAAAAAACGGCCATGTATAGTAAGGCGTTTTTTGCCCAAAAAACCGACCATGTATATATAGTAAGGCGCGTTTGGCCGAAAAAAAAGACCATGTATAGTAAGGCGTTTTTCGCCGAAAAAAAAGACCATGTACTGTAAGGCGTTTTTGGCCAAAAATAACGACCATGTATTGTAAGGCATTTTTTGCCGAAAAAAACGACCATGTATAGTAAGGCGTTTTTGGCCGAAAAAAAAGACCATGTATAGTGAGGCGTTTTGTGCCGAAAAAAACGTCCATGTATCGTAAAGCGTTTTTTGCCGAAAAAAATGACCATGTATAGTAAGGCATTTTTATCTGAAAAAAACGACCATGAATAGTAAGGCGTTTTTGGCCGAAAAAAACACCATGTATAGTAAGGCGTTTTTAGCCGAAATAAACGACCATGTATAGT